GTGGCCAAAGGGAGACATGGGGTCAGTGAGGGATGTTTTAGAATGGAGGAAATTGAGAAGGTTCTTGGGCTGAGAGGAAGTTCTGGAACTCAACTTTGCACAACTTGTGTTATCTCAGGCTTGCTTCCTGACCCGAGGGCTGGCACAGAACGCACACACTCAACATTTAAGGGACTGACATTTGGTCGTGTTGTCCACCACCTCATCCTCTACCCTACGGACCTCTTACCCATTCTTTTAAGGTAGCTGGGAACCTCCTGCCAAAATGGGAAGCCAGCACCAGGGAGAGCGCAGCCAGTTTGCCTGGGAGCCCAGTCCCCCGGAGGTATCAGAGGTGTTGGCTACTGTGACTGGTCAGGAGGTTCACGTGTCGACCCCTAGGGAAGACACCAGCCTCCTGGGGAGGAGGCAGTCTCTGGCTCACTGCTCTGTGCCCATGGATTTTGAGGGTGTAGGGATGGAGGAGTGAAGGGGAGGCTGGTCCCTCTGCTCCTGTTTTATCAACACCTAAGCCTAGGAGGCGCTATTGTGCTCCACGCATCACCCCCAATCTGCACCTGTTACCCAGAAAGCCTTTCTTCTGCGCACCAATTCAAGACTGCTTTCAGGGTAAGGGTTCCTCACATTTCTTTCTTCTTCCTTGTGGCTGGATCCTGGATTCCATGTCTTCCTCTTGCTGCTCTCGTTTAACCCAGGGATGGGGGGGATTTGGAGTCAGCAGCTATCTTGGCAGAGAAAACTCACCCAAGAGTAGATGTGCTTCTTGAAGAAGTGCTTGGGGTCAGCCCCCAACCACCTAGTGCGCACCGTGGGTAGTATTCCCTAGGCCAGCCTGCACCCCCCCTCCCCCACCCTGCCCAGCTGCAGTGTTGCGGGGGCACAGGCCTAGGCGTGTGCAGCTCCCTTCTCCCCCGCTGATGGGGCCTGGCTTCGGGGATGGCTCTGCAGGGAGCAAGGGTGCCAGCCCCCATTCTGCTCACCAAGCAGTGAGCCAGGGGACCTCCCTCTGCCTGGAAACGGGGTACCTTTTAAAAATTTGCATAGAGGAATCTTATAGACTAGCAGGTGCTTCTGCCTGTATCCCCCAAGGTTCCCAAGCCCTAGAAGCTCATCCGACCCCATTCCAGGGAGAGAAGGTGGGGCCTTCTCAGGAGGGACAGGAGGCCTTGCTGCCACCTGACTAAGACAGGCCCTGAAGCAGAGGCAAGGGTCTCACTCTTCCCTCCTGCTGCCTAAAGCCTAAATCCCTTCTCCGGGGAGAAGGGAGAGGAGTCCTTCCAGAAAGCAGGGCTTCCTGAGGGAAAAGATGAGGGTACCTGAGGTGGGAATGAAGAGGGGCCTGAGGACCAAAGGGTTTACCTGTTTCTCCCTGAGCCTGTTTTTGCACCTGCAAGACGGCATGGGAGCTGGGCTTATAGTAAACACATGATGCTGTCATTGAGGTTTCGCTAAGACTTTGGCCTATCCCATGTGTCAGAGCATCCTTATCTCTTGAAGGCAGGGCTGGAATGAAGGGGGCTGAAAACCCTCAGTCCCAGGTGGGAAAGAGGAAGCTGGAGCTGAGGATTTCAGTTCCCTTGGACCCTTGCTCAAAGCCCTTTGCAATTCTTGGGGGCAGGATTGCAGGAGGAGGGGCCTAGGGGTGGGAGTGAGTGATAAAACACCCCCTCCTCATTGCCCTGCTCTTGTCTTCCCCGTGGAGCTTCGTAGCAGCCCGGTGAGGTGGACAGCATGGGGCGCGAGTCCACCTTCATCCTAGCCGTTGGCACATGCTTAGTAAGGGAGAGGGCCAGAAAGAGGATCCGACTTTTGACTGCTGCTATAATTCTCCTCCCTGTTGCATCTGGGCATGCAGCCTCCCTGTTTTCACTTGGGGCATGTCACTTGATAAATCCCTCTGGTTTCCGGTGGGTACCCTAGGGAAGTTTGTGGAAAAGGCATATTCCTGGGCCCTGCCCCCAGAGATTCTGATATCTGGACCTCCAGGCCAGCCCAGGAATCTGCAGCTGAGACAGATCCCCAGATGTGACTGACGCAGGGGGTCCTTGCCTGCATGTTGAGAAACACAGCCGTCCCTGGGTGAGTCAGCCCGTGGCAGGGCAGGGTGGCCAGGTGCCTGTCTCTGCGGACAGGAGAGCTTGGCAAAGGACGCCGCAGGGGAGGGCCACCAGGTGGGGTGTCTTGGAGCTGGCTTCTTGTTCTAGCTCTGACTCGGACTTGGAGCAGCTGTCTCAGGCCACCATTTCCCCCTCTGCGGTGCGAGGCTGGACCAGGAGGTGTTTCCACAGCTCTCTCCACAGCTGCCTTTGGCTGTTCTGTTTCCATAGGCCGGGTTAGGAAGGAAAGGCTCCCCCAGAGGAGGGTGACCTGAGCCGGGCCTCAGAGGACGGATCCTGGGTGGGTGGGCCAGCAGGGAGGGAGGCAGGGAGCCCCATGCCCCAGCCGCACGGCTTGTTTCTGTGGTACTGCTTCAGTCCTCCAGCCGCTCCACTTCCATCGCTTCGGAGCCCAGAGGTGGGCGCATACTGCCTGCTGCTGGCTCCTCCCCTCGCGGGGGTTGCTGGCTGCAGCTCATGCCTGGCCGGCTCCCTTCCTCATCCCCCAGCCCCACATCCCCTGGGCTGCTGCCTTGCTTATAAAGAAGCGGCAAGATTCCTTTTATAGGAGGTTCCTAGAGGAGTCAACCTCAGAAACAGAAAGTAGAACGGTGCTGGCAGGGGTGGGGAACGGGGAGTTCGTGTCTAGTGAGTACGATGGAAAACTTCTGGAGACGGATGGTGGTGACGGTTGCATGACAGTGCGAATGTACTTAATGCCACAGTATGCTTTTAGAAATGGCTAAAATGGTAAAATTTGTGTTACGTGCATTTTACCACAATCTTAAAAGAGGACAAAGGAGAAGGAGAAGCAGCAGGAGAAATTCTCTTCGGACCAGGCCCTGTTCCCCTCTGTCCTGGCCTGCACTTTTTGCTTTGGGAGCCTCACAACTGGGAATTTGGAGTGGATGTGGCTGGTGTGACATTTCAGAGGCGACAAAGACCAAATTTCAATGTCAGTACAGTTAGATGGATTGAACAGCAAGCAGAGAAACCAGGCCCATGGTGGTTACACTGCTTGAGTATACCATGCAGAGTCAAAAACATCTGGGTCCAAAGGCCAGCTCACCATCCAATGCCTGAGTGACCTGGGCCGCTTCCTTAATCTCTGTGAGCTTCAGCTTCCCTCTCTGCAAAACGAGAACCACACATGAGGAGGGCTGGCCCAGGGCCCGGCACTTATTGGTATACAGTAAATGGCAAAGGTTAATTTCATAAAGAATTGGAAAATTCACATCATTTAACTCATCTCTCTGGCAGAGGGGAAACTGAGGCATCAGAGAAGGGATCTGACTTGCCCAAGGCCACACAATAAGTCTGTTACTGAGCTGTGACCTCAGGATATCTTGGACCTCAACCCAGATTTCTGTCCACCCACTTGGAGCCATCCTACAGTTAAGCATGGGTCCCCTACCCGGGAGATCAGGAAGCCATGTGAGAATGGACATCAGGCTGTCACATGACCCTCGTGGTTGTTAAAGATGCCGCCAGCATCCCACCTACTCATTCCTTCATGAGAACAGGATAGTCTTTTATAAGGAGGAGGTGAATTTTATCAGCCAAGCCGATTTGTGGTTTAAGTGTGGGTGGAGATCCATGGGCTTTCGGCAGCTTTGTTGAGTTCACGTGCTGGCCCTGTACTGCAGCTCGTGGGAGAAGAGACACCGTCTGGTGTGAATTACTGTGAACTAGTCATCTTGGTTTAAGGAAGGGCCTCCAGACAAATGTACCAGCGTGTCTAAGTATTCTCTTTGGAGGGAGATGTATCTAGCCTTGATGAGGAAACCTGGCCTGAAGGCAGCAGCATTGGAATGACTTACTAGGGGTTTTAAGGAATTAGTCATTCACACGTGCATTTGTTCATTCACCCAAACCTCACAAGCATTTCGTGTCTACTCTATGTCAGGGATTAGGGGTAATGGAGAGAAATAGGTGTCTCTTGAGCCTTGACTGGGGCATCAGGGAGGTAATCACCACAAGGTACGATGAAGTGCCACAGAAGAGTGACTGATGTTCCAAGTTCTACAGGAACACCAAGGAAAGAGGCACTGAGCCCAGGGGATGTGGGAGAACCTCACAGAGGTGACATCTGAGCAGAGGCCAGAAGGACAGGAAGGCCTTTTCCAGGTAGAGAAAGGAGAGGGCATAGTTGCTTAGCACACAGGCCATGCTGCTCTAAAAGAAAATGGAAAACACAAGGGCTTCAACAAGGCAGGGTCCACTTCGCTCTCATGGAAGGACAGGTGGGGTGAACAGTTCAGGCAGACGTGGTGGTGTGGGGCTGCTGGGGACCCAGAATGCCTCCATCTTGTCACCCAGCCTGCCCTACCTGAGGATGGCTCACCACCATACCTGCACATTCTAGTCTTTGGGAAGAGGGAAAGAGGAGAAGGAGCCTAATACCTTCCACGGCTGGGAAATGTCAGCTGTAGCTGGGTGACCATGCTAATTATCCAGTTATTCTCTAAGAAAGAAGAGATGGGGTGGGGAGAGGTGTGAACAGACAGTCTGCCACATGCAAAGGCAAGGCAAAAGAGGAAAGAGCTTACATGTTTATAGATTTGTGGCATAGACAGGAGTGCAGGAGGTGACTCTGGAGAGGGAGATGGGCCTGAGTGTTTTTTCAAAGGATAGGAGTATATTCTGTATGTCCTGGGAGCCCTGCAGGGTGTTGGGGTGCAGGGGGAGGTTTGCACAGACCGTGACACAAACCAGGAGCTGAGGCAGAGTGTGGTAGAGAGAGCATGTGGGCTGAGAAACAGCGGATGGTGAAGATGTTTTCCGTTACTGAACAAGGATGCAGAGCCCCGATTCTGAGCTCCAGAATCTTCTCTGCTGGGGGGAGGGAGGGGCAGGGGCTGGAGAGCAGTAACTATAATCTCTTCTCTCATTTCCTCTCCTCAGACTGTTCTGCGGATTGTGGTGCTTGGGATCTGGGATTATATTGAAAACAAAATCGAGGTAAAGGCCAGTGTCCACACCCACCCCCCATGCTGGCCATCCTGGGAGCTGGAAAATGTCCTCCCAGTAGGAGCATCAAAAAGGCCTGCTCCTTCCACACTGGATGCAGGAGTTTCTGCAGCTGTGTTGTTGGGGTTGTGGGGAGGGGGCAGGCAGACGCAAAAAGTTCCTGGCAAAGGAACGGTCTAAAAATTCTCAAAATTCGGCAAGATTTAAAAAGTTTTTCTTGAATCATTTGGAAAAGCTTTGAAATGTGTCTTAAAACAAATGAGTCCACTCTAAAATGGCCCAGTGGTTAGAGAGCTGGGCCAGAAACCATCTAGGCACTTCTCAGCCTTGTTTCAGCAGAGCATCCAGCTGCTCTGCTTCGTGTAGAAGGGCCTGGTGCAGTGAGTGGGGATGAGGGGCCGAGGAAGCCTGGCTGTCGCTGGGAATTTTGTGCACTTAGAACAAGGCAAGGCGGTCAGTGTCTGCTGTCCATTCCTTCCTCGCCCACCCCCCACCCCACATCCACATTGTAGCATCTTTGGGCCTAATGCTAACAGAGGCCTGGCCCATAGAAGTCTAGATGAACCCAAGTTTGAGCAGGTAGATAGAAGGTCAGGGCCCAACGCTGAATCACCCCATGCTGAATTGCCTATGCTGGGCCCACTCTTCTCCTAGCCCTGCCTCCCTGTGTGGTGAGAGACTCAGCATCAGATAGAAATGAGATGTGGGCTCTGGGCTCCTGTGCTACCCAAGGGGAAGGGTCCTGCCTTCAGCTCCCACTGCCAGTGAGGGATTCAGCGAGGCTAGAACAGGAACCCTGGGACATGGAATACAGTCTCCATCGCAGGAAGGGACGAGACGCCGGGAAAAGATGCTGGGAGCAACCCCAGGCCATCGGAACAAAGGCTGGGGATGGGCTGAGGTCACTTAAGAGGAAAGAGAGTGCTCAGGAGCATGTCTAGGAGCTAGTAGGTCACTGAAGAGACTGAGGAGAGTCGGGAGAGACAGCCAGGGATAGGGGAGCCTGATGTGGGGACAGATCTCCTGGAGAAACCTGCCAGCACCAGCTGCTTTGCCTGACCTGCTTCCGGGACATTCAGGAAGGTGGCCCAAGACACTGAAATCTAATTCCTCTCACAGGTGTTTGACGGGGCTGTGATCATCCTGTCCTTAGCCCCAATGGTGGCGTCCACCGTGGCCAATGGGCCCAGGAGCCCCTGGGATGCCATCAGCCTCATTATCATGCTCCGGATCTGGCGGGTGAAGAGGGTCATTGATGGTGAGTGGTCCAAAAAGGGTCAGCAGAGCTGGCTGGGTGGCAGGTGGCTGCTACCAAACCTGGAGCTATCAACTAAGAGAGGAGAGAGACCACGTGTTACGGGATGGGGGGGAGGGATGACCCAGCCAGCCTCAGGGATTGGAGGAAGGAGACTGCTGGCTCAGGGAGACCAAGCCTGTCACTGCTCATTCCATGTCACGTGTTCGGGAACTGCACACGGTGCCCAGATGTCACATGCAAACACTTGAGCGTTCATTCCAACAGACCTATTTATTGTGTGTCCCGACGGCCAGTGCCTCGCATGAGAACTTACAGCAGGGCCTGCCATTCCAGAACGCCAGTGTTGTACATCCTGAGTGTTTGGATGCACGCCTGCCACTGACTCACCACTGGCTTTGTCCAGCTGACTGGTCAAAGGGTTCCTCCCTGTGGGGCCCATCTCCCCTCTGTGTCCAACAAGGGGTGCACCACCCAAGCCTGTCGACCCACAAACAACTCGAGAGTGTTTCCAGGGAGGTGCTGGCTTGGTCTGGGTTTTGGCTTGTTTTAGTCAGTTTCAGTGACGCATGCTCCCATCTGGGCCTCCATTCCCAGAGAATGTCTGATCCACTCTGCTCTCTCCCTGCCTTCTACCATCAGAGGCAAAGGCCACCCTTCCCGCGGGGCCACCTCATTTAGAGAGCTCTGCCCTGACCCGGATGGTTCATCTATTTCCAGAAAGTGGTGACAGACCCGAGTGTGTCTCCCACCCCAACCCCCCCCCCACCACAGGAAGGGACACCTGGGTGAGAGAAGACTGGAGACCTCGTCCCCGAAGAACAGCGCAGGGAACTAGAATGGGGTGGCCTGGGGATGGGGAAGATGGAGGAGCCAACTCCAGGTTCCAGAGGGTGGTCCTTGGACCTCGCAGAACATGACAGGGAGGCCCACCTCACCTCAGCCAGACTAGGCACAGAGCCACTGCAGATGGGCTGGTCTGCCTCTCTAGGAGGTGGGCTCCTGCGGGAGTGTGGGCAGCCTGAGCCAGGTGGTCGCGTGGAGGGGCAAGGCCCGACAAGGAGATTGTACAAATGATGATTCCGAAGCTTTTTTTAAGTAGCAAAACCCTTTCTTCTGCAAAATCTTATGCAGCTCTCCAGTGTGAAAGATAGATTAAAAGTGGAGCGTTTTGGTTGACTCGGAGTGGGGGGCCAGAGCCCACTTCCTTGCCTCTCTTCTCCAGGGGGCATCTCTAAGGACCTTCTGAGCCTCTAGAGCAGGTTCAAACCACTGGGATACACTGTTAAGACTATAGACTGTATAGTATAGACTCTAAGGTCATTCCGGCCCTGAATTTGGGTTGCAAATGTCGGAAATCGTGGCTATGAGAATACCCCAACAGCATTTGCCAGGCAGTGGGGGGAGGGTATGAGGCAGGAAGGACAGCCTCTGGGGTCTCTCATCCCCTGGCAGGGCACCCTCTCCCTTTTCCCTGCCCCCACATCCCACCCAGTTAGCTCTGTTGGGTGTGATGTCTTGTCAGGGAGCTAGCTCCTAATCCAGAATCTTCATCAAACTGGAATGTGACTGGTCCAACTTTGGAAGGCCCAAACTGGGAAGGCGCTGAGAGGTCGTCTAGTCCATTCCTGTCATTTGACAGATGGGGAAACTGAGGCTAAGAGGGATAAGGGTCACACAGCAAAGCAGGCTGTGAGCCCGAAGCGGAGCTCAGGCCCACTGGCAACCACCAGTGTGCTCTTTGTCTGTTCACTCACCCCCATCTGCTCAGGGCACTGTCCTTGGCTCCATTCACGAGAACATCCTTTCCCTGCAGAACAGGAACAGCGCCTTCTGGCTCTTCTCTGCCGGCCCTGAACAGCTGGACACCCTCACACTGATGGATCTGACAGCCCATTGTGAATGCTCTTCCCAGCTACTCCCCCTTTTTCCTGACACAGCAGGCATGGCTGTGCCACTGGGAGCCTCAGGATAGGGATGTGCTGTGTGGATGTGGGGGTGTTAATTTGCTTCTCTCACCCTGGGTGTGAACTGGCTTCAGCAGAGATCTGAGGAGGCAGAAGCCGCTGGGGCCAGCCTCTGGAACCTGGAGACAGGTCTGCGGGACGAGTGAACTGCCCTCCAGTTGAGAAGCAAACAGGAGAATTCTGCTTTCTCTGCTCTGCGTGATCCCTGCGGCAGCCAGAGAACACCTGGGGGTGGGAGACCGTGGGTGGAAAGGGACACGAAGAATGGAGATACGGAGAGTTGTAGAATACAGCGGCAAGACAGGCGTGTGACCGAAGTTTCTGACAAGTCAGGAAGAACTGGGTCCTGTGATGTGAGAACAGCATGAAGGCCAGAGGCCGGGGTCGGGTAGGAGTTGATACTGAGACTTCACAGAGCCCAGAGAATTGCCCAAGGGAGGGGCCTATGGGGCTACCACTGGCTGCAAGTTCCTGGGGCCCTCCAGCCCGAGTCTAGGCTCTCTCCTCTGGGTCCATAGGACTGTCCATGAGTAACAGAGACCCAGAATAACAGTGACTTAAAGCAGAGGCCTCTTTCTCTCACATGAGAGTCTGCAGGTCGGCAGTCCCAGGCTGACGTGGCGCTCTCTGTAGTCGAGATTCCAGGGTCCTCCTATTTGTTGCCCTGCTGTACATTGTCTTCTTTCCAAAGTCACCCCCATGGTCCAGGATGGCTGCTGCAGGGCCAGCCATCACATCCTCATCTCAGCAACTGGGAAGAAGGAAGAGAGGAAGAAGATAAAGAGGCAAAAGGAAAGCCCAGCTGCCCTTTCTCTTTAGACATCTTTATTGAGATACAGTTCACACACCATGGAACACCCATTTATAGTGCACAATTCAGTGGCTCTTAGTATATTCCTAAAGTCATGCAAATATCACCAAAACCTAAGCTTAGAGCCTTTTCACCACTTCAAAAAGAAAGCCCGTACCCATTAGCGGTCACTCCACATGACCCTCCCAGCCTTAGGCAGCCGCTAACCTACTTCCTGTGTCGGTAGGTTTGCCTCTTCTGGATATTTCCTATAAACGGGACCATAGGATACGTGTCCTGTTGTGTCTGCCTTCTTTCACTGAGCAAAAGCGTCTTCAGGGTTCATCCGTGTGTATCGTGTGTCAGAGCTTCATTCCCTTTTATTGTTGCATCGTGCTCCTCTGTATGGACAGACCACATGTTCTTTATCCACCCATCCGTTGCCGGACATTTAGTTTGTTTCCACTTTTGGCTTCTGTGAACATCCACGTCCAAGCTTTTGTGTGGAGGTATGTTTTCGTTTCTCTGAGGTGCCTAGGCATGGACTCGCCGAGCCCTGTGGTCACTCTGTCTTAGCCATCTCAGGAACTGCCCAGCTGTTTTCCAGAGCAGCTGCCCCATGTTACTTTCCCACCAGCAGTGAGTGAGGGTTCCAGTATTTCCGCTTCCTCATCTGCCAGCTCCCGGAAGCTGCTGCATGACGCCTGCCCTTGCCTGCCAGTGTCCGGACTGTGGCCTCCCGGCTGCCCACAGCCACGCAGGAGACTCAAAAATCCAGCCCTTGCTCTGGGCAGCTGTGCACACGGCCAGAATGAAGGGTGCTGTCACTAGGGCAAAGGAGGAAAACGGATCTCTTGGTCACCGCGGGTTGGGGTTCTAGCCCTCTTAGACTGTCTGGGTGCTGTGGGGGTGCCTAGCATCCCCCCAACCCCCGCACTCCCTGGCTCCTCTAGGAACTGCTCCCGGACTTGAACCTGCAGCTGGCTGGCTGCTGGCACCAGCCCCTCCCCCGCCTGAGTCCCGCTACTGCCAAGTTCTTCACGGAGCTGTCTCTGTCTTCCAGCTTACGTCCTGCCGGTGAAGGTGGAGATGGAGATGGTCATCCAGCAGTACGAGAAGGCCAAGGTCATCCAAGATGAGCAGCTGGAGAGACTGACGCAGATCTGTCAGGAGCAAGGGGTAACACCCTGCCACTTCCGGTTCTGTTCAGGGCCCAGGGTCCCGGTGGTGCCCATAAAGCCACAGGAGGCCAGAACTGCAGGGCCCCCCCAAGGACACATGGGGAACCTAAGGCCCAGAGAGTGGGAAACCAGTCTCTTAAGGTCACTCCTGCTCAGCCTAGCCAGGCCTGGGCTCGGCACCGACTCCTAGGTCGGGGTGCTTTTTCTTTGTACCACAGTGACCAGTCAGCTCTCCAGCCTGAGCCAGCCGAGTCACCGACTCAGTTCATCAGAGTCTTCTCGACACAGTGGTCTCTAGAGCAGGGGACAACTTCCTGTCTGCAGAGGTTGCTGGGCGACACTGTGGGCCAGTCACCACCCAGGACCCCCAGACACCCCCAAAGAGGTGTTAACAGTTCTCTGTGCTTCCCAGGAGCCGTGGGGAAGACAGAGAGGTGACAGGCCCCGTGAGGCCATGCTCAGCAGAGCCAAGGGGGCGGGCAGCTGGGTCCTGCAGCAAGGCTACAAAGCTCTGTAGAAACACAGCCTCCAGGGAACGAATGATCTGGTACCCGGTATGCAAGGTGGGAATGCCATAGAGGGGACCAGCTAGCAAGGTGGTAGAAAGTGTGGAGGAGAATAGACGAACTGACATATATGGTCATTCTGGCCTCTCCGTTGCATTCTGGGGAAACAACAGGGCCACTGCCCTTTGCTCTGTGAGCCACATAAGCTATGCCCCCCACCCTTAGTCCCCAGGGCCAGTCCAGGCATAGTATGCCCCAGCTACTTATCCCGTGTGGGGCTCAGCACTCTGGCTTGCAGTGCAGTGGTGCTGGACACCCGTCAGTCCCTCCCCCTGCCCCACTGCCAAGCACCTGGGCACTCCCCATGGGGTCTGAGGGCCTCACGCGTCTGCCTAGCTTGTCAACGTCATACCTCCTTCATCTTGTACATAAACACTCTGACCGAGTCAGACGGAGTCACCTGCCCTTCTGACAAGCCCCGTGCCATCCCATCCCTTCGTTCTGGTTGTGCTGTGCCCCTTGCCTGAACCCTTGCCAGCCCTGCCTAACTAATTTGTGTGCAGCCTGCAAGTCCTGGCTTTTCCACTAAACACGGCACTCCCCTCCCGCAGCAGTCGCTGCTCCCTTACTCCCCAGCCCTTCTGTGGGCCTCCACAGAGCACTGGGCACTCGCTGCCGTGGGCTCTGGTTACCTGCACGCGGGACTGCTTCTCCTGCTGAATGGGATGCTCCCCCAGGGCAGGCCTCGTCTGACTCACATTTGCCCTCAGCCCAGCGCCCGTTCGTGGTGGGTCTCCTGGCTCCTCCACCCCAACCTCTCCTAGCTGGAGGAAGAGCTGGAGGGAGTGGGAAACCTGTGGAATGTCAGCACAAATTAATCCCTAGAAATGTCCCACAGGAACAGGCACACAGAGTCTTCAAAATCATCTCCTTGGAATGTCTGGCAGGGAGCCAGATCTTTTTATCTACTTTGGGAACACCATGGCCTTTCATTTCAGCACAACATGCTTATGAGTGACAAGAGGGGACACCAGGGGACACAGCCCTCAGGAGCGCATCATCCGTGGGATCCTGGGTGTGGGGCAGTCTTTACAGGATTGTGGACCTGGGAAGACCAGTGTTCTAGTCCCAAAGTGGCTGGCATCAGCTTCATTCTCCCCCGTGCATCTGGTCCACCAGCACCATCCCAACCTGTGCTGGGCACTGGGGGCACTGCTGTGGAGAGGATTTGGCCCCTACCCCCAGGAGGCTCTGGGTGACTCGAGTCTGGCAGGCCCATAAATAAACGGGCAGTCTGGTGCATGCATGTTTCAGCAGGGACAAGTCTGGGGTTCTGCACGCCAGGGCTCGGGGGCAGGGGAGTGGATGGGTTTCTAGAGGAGCCGACGTTGGGCAGGGCCACTTGGAGAAGGGTGCCTGGCAGAGGGGACAGGTGAGGCATTAGAGTGGGTGTCGTACCAGGGGAGCTCAAGGCCATTCAGGGTATGAGCAGAGAGAGGAGGTAGGAGGATCTGGAGGCAGGCTTGGGAAAGGCCTACGTGGCTGACCAGGGAATTTGGGCTCCACCCTGTAGGGAAGGGGGAGGCCTGGGGGTATTAGAAGCAGGGGTGGGAGGTCTGCTCAGGTTGGAGTTTTTGATGGATCTCTCTGGCAGCTGTTGGAGGCAGGATGGGCGAGGGCAAGGAATGGAGATAGAAAGCCTGGGTTGAGAGGCTGTTGCAACCACCCAGGGGAGAGAGGCCTAGGTTTGGGGCAGACAGAGGTCTAGAGGAAGAGGGGAGAGGACAGATCTGGGTGTCATCCAGGACCTGGCTGGAGCTTGGTCAGGTAGCTCTCAGTCTACTGTCTAATAGGAAAATGAACACCACGGGGCTGTGGTTGGCCACGTGACAGACACCGACAGGGTGCCACATCTGCCCTTCATAAACTCTCACACAGCCTCCCAGCCCGGCAGAGAACAAGCTGACCCTACCGCATGCCCCACAATAACAGCGTATGGGCCACGGGGCTGAGAGAAAACCCTAATGGCAACCCCACCCCCAGTGCTTTCCATCAGGAACCCCCGTCCTGAGCCCACAGAGACCCCACATGTGGCCTCCTTCCCAGGGGTCCTGGCCAGAGGGAGACTCCCTTGGATTCTGCACAGGAAAGAGCTAATAAATAAAGACAGATTCCCTCTAGGTAGCGACATCTGGAAAAGAGATGAACAGAAACAAACCATTTTAATTTAAAAAACACCTGAAGCCTGTCATCTTAGTTGAGACAGCAAAAAGGGCCAGCTGGGCTGGAATCCCAGCGGGCCACAGGGAAGGCGGGGGGGACCAGTAAGAGCAGAGAAACCAGGACTGCTGCTCTCCCAAAGCTGAGTGATGCCCACTCCACGGGGTGGGGCATGTGGACGCCTCATTTTCAGCTCTGTTTTAGGACCAGGTTTGAGACTTGACTGGGTCACAAATATCCTTAAAAAAAAATGAGAGTGCCGGCTCATTACACATCAGGGATAGCCAAATGCTTTGAGAGAGTAGTGTCTAGAACGGTTAAGAATAGACTTTAGGGACAGACCTGAGTGCAGAGCCAGCCTGGCCACTTATGGGCCTTGTGGCTTTGCTCACTGAGGGGACCTGCATGGCCCTTGATTTTCCCAATCTGAAAAAGAGGAATAGTAATAAAATCCTTGAAGGATGGTTGTGAGATGGTGTAGCCTAAAGCCTAACCCATGATGAATGGTGACTATGCGAGCCCATCCCCTCTCCCCCACATAGACCCATTTATTTTATAGATAAGATGACAGAGCAGTGGGTGACTTGCCTGAGAGCTCACGGCTAGTTGAGGGCTTTTAGAGCCAGGAATAGACCCAGCTGTCCTAATGGAACACTGTTCTTTCCCAGCCCACCTTGCTTAGGGTCATTTTTCTACCCATGTCACTTCTCGGCTCTTGGTGGAGACATTGGCCAGATAAGGCGCCAGGGTATCTTTAAACCAGAGCCTGCGTGCAGCTCAGCTGTCTCAGTGGCATTTCCGAAGAGTCCCTTGCTGCTACCCACCTCCCCGCCACCCCCGACCCCCCTTCAGGTCATTCTAGTCCTCTTTGTCAAAAACTCTTGCTCTCTCTCTCCCTGCTGGAATTCTCAGTTTAATAAAGCAATCTCCACATCTAATTCATATGTGCTACCTAAAACACTGAAATTTACCAAAGTTCCCATGAACGTGTAGAATCTCAGTTTAAATGAAACAGTCAATTTGCATTCATCCCGCTCTCTCCCTGAGATATATCTGTATAAATAGTTCCCAAGATTTTATTCATCTTAGCTCTTTTTTTAAATAAACTTTATTTTTTAGAACGGTTTCAGATATATAGAAGGGTGGTAAAGATGGTACAGAGTTCCCACATACCCCATACCCAATTTCCCCTGTTAACATCTCACATTAGTATTGTGTGTTTGTTACAATTAATGAATCAATATTGGTATGTTATTATTAAAGTCCATACATTTTTCCGATTTCCTTAGTTTTTAGCTAATGTCCTTGATCTGTTCCAGGATCCCATTCAGGACACTGCATTACATATGGTTATTATATCTCTTTAGGCTCCTCCTGGCTATAAAAGTTCCTCAGACTTCCTTTGTTTTTGATGACATTGACCATTTGGAGTACCGAGCAGGTATTGCGTAGGATGCCCCGTGACTGGGATTTGTCTGATGTTTTTCTCATGATTAGACTGGAGTTATGGGTTTTGGCAAGGAAGATCATCACATCACATCACATCACATCACATCGAGGGTGCCTACTATCAACATGACTTCTCACCGCTGACGTTGACCTCACCTGGCTGAGGTAGCGTTTGTCAGATCTCTGCTCTGTAAAGTCACTCTGTTTTATTCATCTTAGCTTTTTTAGAAAGCTTAAATTGCTTGTTGCTGTGACCCTATAGAGACTCCCGGGTGACACAGTTTGCTGGTTTCTTGCCTGAATATCTTGTACAGTTGATCTTCTGCGCCCCGTGGTAGCTCCTTTCTTACCACAGGAACACCCAACATGCCCCAGGACCATTGTATATTATAAGATTTTTTATTTATTTATTTGACAGAGAGACAGCGAGAGCAGGAACACAAGCAGGGGGAGTGGGAGAGGAAGAAGCAGGCTTCCTGCAGAG